TCTACTTATTTTAACTGTTAATTATACATTAGATAATTTTTTTAAACATTTTAAGTCCCTATTTCAAAACTCAAACCATTAGTTTAATTTATTAAAATATTTGTAACAAGTATGGACGTAATAATTTTTAAAAATAGTTACTTGGATTATTTTTACAAATTATCAATGTTGAATAATTAATATCATTTAAATTTCAAATTGCCAAACGCGTGTCTTCTGATTGACACTCTTCGTAGCAGTCCCATTAATAAGTTTTTTTTAAATTCATGTTTCATGTATTATAAAACTTTTGTTTTTAAATAAAAAAGTTTAAAATTAGAAACTGTCATTACTCAAGGTTTCTCTTTAGACATTATCGCAATTAAAAAATATTAAAAAGGTCTGCCCCTGACTAGAGRTTACACAAACTACATTGTGATTAGTTACCGAGGTACGCTTAACCCGTAGTAACCATGGACCATGTCGTTGAACTGCACATAKTGGTTCATGAAAGGATTTAATGTAAACCACGATTTAAGATAGTACTATCTTAAACCGTGATGTAGACGTACCTTACGCGGCGTTATCACTGCCGAACCAGATCGTACCGCTCTATATTGATAACGTTRTGTATTATATATTATATTTGAACATAATATAATAWTTTTTATTCAGTGAATAACTAGCATTTAATTAAACTAWTCCTTACCTTATATACCTTGGTACCATTTTAAAATTGTAGGTATATTTTCAGTTTATGTTTTAAAAATAGACAATAGTTCACAGTTTTTAGATTCTTTTGTTGTTATTATGTTGGATAGGTATCAATTATATTACWGAGCTAATAATATAAGTACATAATACGTGAAACTTCRAACAGCGATGTCGTAAGTATTACTCATCAATTGTTTTGTCATTCATTTATTAAACATAATATGCCCATACTAGARCTGTGAATTTGTTACAAATTATTATTTTTTTCTGTGTGTGTCTTAAATGGGCTGATTAAATGTGAAAAATAAAACAATAATTGTATTCGAAATTTAGGGAATTGTATGAAATTAAAAAAAAAAATTATCGATAAACAATGAGCATTGCATAATTGCTAAAATCAAATTAAATTTTAAAACTATAATAATTGGAAGGGGGGGAATTTATATTAAGCCATATTGAAAATCTTATTCTAACCACTGTGAAACTAGAATAAACTCCACTTTTAGGTATATTAATTATTATTTAATATATTTTTATATTAATTCCTGTATAAAATAAATAACTTAGTTGGTACCTTTAAATTATCAACATTGGTGTCCGTTAAAAGATATAGTTAAGATATTATATTTATTATTTATTTAAATTGACTACCTAATATCATATTAATAAGTTTAGTTGAATAACTATTTACTGAATAACATTACATTCTTAACTTTTGCGTAAATGTATTGTTAAATATGTATTGCAAAATGTTGATTGTTAGTTATACATACCTACATATTTGCTATTAGTTAATTTTCGACACATTTTATGCAAAACAATATTGCTTGTGTGTAAAATAATATTAATTGTACCTACTTTAGTACTTGGTCTTCTATAGCACTTAATACCTAGTAGTTTTCAACCTTTTTTAAACACAGCACCACTGTGCTTTTCAAAATATCTTCATTCTTCATGACATATAATATTTCAACAATAAACCAGTGGCGTAGTCCACTAGTCCSCCGAATTTCGATAAAATTGAAAAATTAACTTAATGGTTTATGAGTCTCTAAAAATCTAAAATTATATTTTTTAAATATAAAGAGAAAATTCATTGCTATTTTTAATTTTTTTTTGTACGTGGTAAACTTGTGCGGAAGAATCTAGGAAAACCACCGCTGTGTAAAAATTGATCAGTCCTCTGCTCCCTCGAAGAAAAATTCGGGCTACGCCGCTGTAAAAAAAACAATGTTTTCTTCATCAAAGACAATTTTTTTTAGGTTATCGTATAACTTTTTTACACCTATTTCGATAAACAACATTAATCTTTATTAAATACATGTTAATATTTGTTTTTTATCTAAGAAACTTGGTGAGAACACTGAGAACCATTAGTTTCGACAATTACAATAAACATATGAATATAATATATTAAATATTATTWTTTTTTTTTWAATTTAAATTATGAAACCAGCCTGGTTGAATAAATTAAGTGTGGATAAAATAACAGATTGAGAATTGCAGGGAAGGGTAGATTGAGGATTAGCTGGATATTAATATTTAATCGTTGGTATAATATTTTTATTGAGTATAATTATTGTGAAAAAAATTYCAAAAGCTTACAGCATAGTCGGCATACCTATAGAGAATATCTGAGGTAGGTACATCAGTGGTTAGTGCCTATATATCCACCTACATATTATTATTATTTTAAATTTTTATTATATTTTTCGGGCTTTCAAGGATTTAAATCCACTTTATAGGCTCTTTTAATAATATAGTGTAGCTACATATTATATTTTGAATTTATATCGAGTCAATATATTTAACCAAGTACCTATACTTTGTGTTAAAAAGAGTACAGATTTTGAAGCGCGTTACGGTGGCCGCCGTTTCCAGTAAAACCGTATCCAAGGTTGTGGGATTGGTCAGTCTGAGCTTGGCATCGATAGTCATCGACGAGACGATAACACTGATTAAGCAGTACTTATGGCGCAATTACGTCACCGAACTTGAAGTTTCTAACACAGACAAGTCTTATTATTGGCTGCTGCAGTGGATTTCCAAACACAACCAACAACTACTACATTTCAGCGTGACCACCGTTTGTCGAAACACTGAGTCCACTGATGCAACTTCGAAGTTCAACTACGAACCGAGTGCCGGCGAACACATTTTTAAGTAAATTCGATTCCGAGACCGAAATTACATAACRACTCGTATTATCTGTATTATTACCAATGATTTCATTACTTCACAGTGACATGTAAGTCAGATGTACCCGATGCTGTATCAAGTTTGTGGTATTTTGTGTTTTGATTAACCCTTAAATAATTCATTAGCAAAATATAATYACGTATATTCAAGGATAAGTTTATCCCCAGACCCCCAGTATTAAATACTATGAAATCGTTAAAAACTTTACATACATAGATACATCTAAGTGACCGTATGAAATCATATACGGGGGAATGCAATTAATAATTTAATYTTTTCTGAGAAAGGAATTAACCATTGTTGTTAAGAAGGTATATATCTTATAATTTTAACCAATATTTGGTGATAAATACATTAAATACTAATAATTATTTTATCAATTTATATGCTGTATTATTGCGAGATTAACGGTCTGAAAAATAATAATTAATTATTCTGTGACTCCCGGAATGGTTTCGTTTAGCAAATGAAAGATTAGTAGCGATTTAACTGTTCGAGCATCGTCATGCTGGTTATGCTACATCCTTTTTGGCCCTACAGTGCTGGGTCTCTTAAGTGTTTTTTAGCTCAAATCCCTATAATGTATTACCAGGAACAAATATAACCAAAAACCTCACCAGCGTTTAGATTCATTCTTCCACTCGCCATACAGTTCAATTCGTTGTGCTCATGTATAACGATAAGCAATTCATTAAGCTGATGCCTGATACTTTAGAGGGCGCTACACACATATTTGTGTTTCCCGTCTTACAAGTGCGTGACATAGCGAATTAACGCTTAGCAGATCACGTTTTCTCCGTTAGTTTAAAAATGAGAGAAAATTGACCTGTATGAAACTTGATGGTAAGAACATTATCTGTGTTTGTATGTGGGTTTTTTACGATACTTCAATTTTTTTAGCAAGTTATGCATGTATGATGTATAAAAAACCGTTAATTAAAAATGCTCATAACTCACTTAAAAACTAATTTATCGTAAATAACCCACATACAACCACAGAGATGTTCTTACCGTCAAGTTTCATAATAGACCAATAATTGACTAATTCTTAAACTAACGAAGCTAAACGTGATCTGCTAATCGTAAATTCGCTTTATCGAGCACAATGTAAGACGGAGACTACAAATATGTGTKTAGCGTCCTCTTAAATGCTCTGAAACGATTAATTGTGTAATACCTATRCAGGTACAAAAGTCATACAATACGTGTAAAACGTGATCGCAGCACTATGTTGTCCAGTGAGTACGGTTCTAGACCGTTTGAGATGCTTACCTTAACTACTTGGGGTCGAAACAGACAAGTGCTGAATGAAATTCTGGAAGAGGGTGAGTAATCGCCGCTACACTTGTAGTAGTCGTCAATAATATTATATGTACCTTAAAATTTAACTAATCAATTTAAGCGCGATTACTATGTAAGGTAAATTTAGTAAAATATATTCCGTTGCCATTCTTCTAGCCCGATTGTACGCTATGTCCATAATGGAGTCGGGCACCACTCTGATGGTGCCCTCATATGACACGTGGCACAACTTCGGCGAGCCCCGCGCGCCACGGTCATTGTCATCTGTTATACTGGACGAGGGAGTGACCGAAAACATTCTTAAGGATATACGCAATTTTGAGACTGACAAGTCATGGTACATAGATAGGGGTATGTAAATGTCTAAACTTCACTAGTTTAATTATTAACTACTATGACAAGTCATAAATAGATAATACTGGAATTTGAAACCTAGAAAAGTAATGTCTAATATGCATATAATCCAGAGGACAGTAATGTATTCGGAACACTACAGCAATTTAATGAAACAATAATAAATAGTAGGAAATATAATTGTATTTCGGCGTTCTAGGAATACCGTACCGTAGGGGGTATCTGCTTTACGGGCCGCCGGGCTGTGGCAAGACATCTTTGATCACGGCACTGGCTGGCGATATGAAGTACAACTTGTGCGTGCTAAGTCTGAACGACTCAAAAATGTCTGACGATCAACTAGTTCAATTGATGGGAGAAGTACCATCAAAGTCCTTCGTGCTCCTGGAAGACATTGATGCTATGTTCGCCAACAGAGACGGAAAAACGGTCATAGGTACGTTATACAAATACTTGTAAAATAGTAAGCAATATTTTACTCATCATAATTAATTTGTGACAGAGGGCAGTACTAAAGTGACGTTGAGCGGCTTGCTAAACGCTCTGGATGGTGTCGTATCGTCTGAAGGCCGAATACTATTTATGACTACCAACTACGTTGAAAGGTAAGTAATAATAGTACATAGATCAACACAATTCATTGTCAAATGGTGTTTTAGGTTGGATACTGCACTCATTCGATCTGGCCGAGTGGACTTCAAACAACACATTGGTACTTGTACAGATCATCAATTGTCAGAAATGTTCATTAGATTTCGCCCAGAAGGTACAGAAAATGACAAGAAAAGATTTGTGAAAGATATAAGAAAATGTAACAAACCAGTTGTCCCAGCTTATCTACAAGAGTTTTTTTTGGTACACCGTTATAAAGAACTAAATTATGTGTTTGAACATATAAATGATTTATGGCAGAACATACAAGACATTCAATTAACAGAGTAACAACAATAATATTCATACTATTAATTTAAAAATAATAATAATAATAATAATAATAATAATAATGATAATATTAATAATAATATGTTAATTTTTTATGTACAGAAAAATACTAAGTACATAAAAAATCAATGTTCAGTCGAATAGCAATTTTTGAGCACAATAAAAGAAAGTGTCATGAATATTTAAAGTGTTAGAAAAAGAACAACAAAAATTAATTAACATGAAAAAAATAACAAAAAGCGAATACGTTCATCATCTTTTGGGATCAATTGAGTATAATGCTATAGTTCCATCCATCGCGCCAGTAGAAAGTAGG